TTTGATTCCGTCGAAATTTGGGCGGTGCTGCAGTCCCTTCTTTGGTGCCAAGTTGACTGTCGGTATATCGAAGTGCTGAAGTGTTTCAACAGTAGAGCTACGATGGCTTTCCGAGTACAGAATCAGCGCACGAAACATATCCAACTGTAGACAGGTGTAAGACAGGGTGACGTTATATCCCCGAAACTCTTCAGCGCTGCATTGAAAGACGTTTTCAAGCTACTGGACTGGAAAGGATACGGTATTAACATCAATGGCGAGTTCATCACTCACCTTCGTTTTGCCGACGATATAATCCTTATGGCAGAATCGCTGGAGGACCTAAGCACTATGCTCAATGACCTCAATAGTTTCTCCCAACGGATAGGTCTTAAGATGAACATGGACAAAACAAAAATCATGTTTAACGTCCATGTCACACCTATGCCGGTAAGTTTTGGGAGCACTAACCGCGAAGTTGTTGACGAGTATGTTTACCTGGGACAAATAGTCCGACTAGGTAAGTCCAACTTCGACCGAGCGGTTAATCGACGGATTCAACTCGGCTGGGCAGCGTTCGGGTAACTACAACACATCTTCTGGTTAGATATACCTTAAAACCTGAAAACGAAATTGTACAACCAATGCGTGTTGCCAGTGATGACTTACGGATCTGAGACGTGGTCCTTCACTGCTGGCCGTATGAGGAAGCTTAAGGTCGCTCAGCGAGCTATGGTAAGGGCTATGCTCGGGGTGTCTCTGCGTGATAAACTTAGAAATGAGGATATCCGCAGTAGAAACAGAGTAGTAACGGATTAGTAAGCTGAAGTGGCAGTGGGCCGGCCATATAGCTCGAAGAACCGGCAATCGATGGGGAAGAAGGCTTCTCGAGTGGCAGCATCGTACCGGTAGGCGAAGTGTAGGGCGACTCCCCACTAGATGGAGTGACGACCTGGTAAGACATGCAGGAAGTCGATGGATGCAGGTGGCTCAGGACCGTGCTTTGTGGCATGCTTGGGGGAGGCCTATGTTCAGCAGTGGACTTGTGAAGGGCTGTAATGATGATGATGATGATGAGGTTAACAAACGAGTAAGTGGTTGCTGTGACCCATAGACATCTTCATCTATCCTCAATAAAGAATTAAAATGCAGATGCGTTGTCACTAGGCGTGTGTATCTCTTTACGGAAACGACTCACTGATATGAATCACTGAAGTGACACAAAAGATTGGTTCAGTAACAACGTTTCAAATGCGAATTTCGCGCGACGCGTCGTTTACGAGGCGACTGAGCCACGAGCGAGAGAGAGAGACTGAGACAATGATTAACTTGACTATTGACTCACGAGTGGCGAGTATAATTATAATCCACACATGTCAGATAGAGATAACAAATAAGAAGTGTATCACTCAACTCGTACGGATTATCGCTGACGTTATTCATGCAAGTAAAAATTACCACTAAGGCGCTTATGTGTCAAATACTATACGGTCGTTTTTTGTATGTAACGTTTGCATTAAAAAGTTGTCATTTTACGTTGATGCGGCACTTGTCAATTTGTTTATATTCATTAGCGCCTGTTTACGAAATCATACTGAGTTAAGTATGTTTAGGATTTCTTTACGTAGTGATTATTGTGACTTTCTTCCTTTTCATCATAAAGTTTAGAGTTATGATAGTTTATGAGTAAATTCTGTGTACATAGACATTGCTGTTTTGTGTAAATGGACATTTTTGTAAATTATGAATTGACATAGTGACATTTTTGTTAAAGTATGAAGGAGAATCGATTTTATATACAATCTTATTACGGTACACAATAAATAATGTGAGCACTTATATTATTCAGCATTGTATGCCACATAGCATTTCACGGATCAGTCAGTAATAAACGCCCGCGACGCAACTTAATGTACCTATTCGGAACATTCTTTCTTTTATATCTTTTGAGTCGATGATCCAAATGAAACATATCAGTGTTTAGGAACATTTCAGTGATCAAGATGCAAATGTTCCAATCGCAAAAATGATACACTTTGCCCACCTCCAGTTGTCACCCTTGAGGACTGAAGATTGAGTGCATCTTTTCCAGTAAAAAGGGTCTCCGGTTCTCTACAGTAACCATACGAAGCACAGCAGTGTTAAGCTGCTATTTTACGCTGGTATTCTGTGAGAGCGTGGTCATACCTCGGTCGAGCCGAATATAGCTGCAGCATGGCTCTACCACGTAAAAATATGTAGTTGGAAGGGTCTGAGCGGTCAACTTTTTAGAGATCGGATGCACTAAAGCTGTCTTCCATAAGTTCAGGATTACGCTTAGGAAGAAGGAGTACCGGAAAAGATGCGTAACAACCGGTGCTAACTCCGGAGCACTCGTCTTCAGCACAATAGGGGGGACTCCATCAAGCCCAGTCGAATTGTTAATGTCCAGGGAGAGTAGTGCTTTGCACAATAAGCGCTGTGTAAACCGCAAATCCAGCATGAAGCAATCACATCCTGGGGTGGTCGGCGATGTGTACTATGGCTTGATATTTACCTACCTAAATAATTACAGACACTTAGCGCTGTCCGGCGGGGTCATACGGAAAGCATAAGAGTGCATAGTACTTTATTTTTTATTTTTTGATACTTAAATGCTGAAATAAAAGCGTTTTTCATGCTATTAATTATAACTATGATATAAGTATATGTTTAACGTGCAATCATTAGTGACTTTATTAAAATATTGGTTCTAGTGATAATATTGTTGCTTAAGATTATGGTTATGATTACATACCTGTGAGAAAATATTTTAGTAGGATGCCATCATTTAGTGTTTCTTCTTTCATATTATTTCCAACTAATATCTCATAGATACATGACTCTTATGGTGATAACAATACTTTTTAAAAAGAAAATTTTCGGACATTCTTTGTACTAGATCCAGTTAGTTCATTCATGTAATCTATGTTAATTATTATTAGTCTATCAATGACGGTGTGAACGTCCGTGCGTCACTTAATTCACAGGCCCACTGAAAACCAGCGCTGTAGTCTCGTATCGACTGCGGCATTAAGCTGAGTGCGGTCTGTTTGCCGTGTACGCCACACACACTTGTGTGCGTAAAATGTGTGATGTGTTTAATTTTTTTTTTATTTTTTGTATTCTTCTTTTTTTATTTTTTTTTTCTTTTTACTATCTATGTATTTTTTATGTTTATGGTTTAAATGTACATGTGGCGTATTTGAGCAATAAATGTTTTCTTTCTTTCTTTCTTTCTTTCTATCTACGGTCGTGTTGGACTCATATTTGCGGGTTGCGGGTAATGTCTATTATTTATTGAGAATATTAAACCAAATTTTATTCTGTACATAAGTGGTGCTTTCAAAGGTGAGCTCAGCGCCCCCACGAACCTTGCGCCCTAGGCTCTAGCCTTTTAGCCTGTGGGTGAATCAGGTCCTGATCATAGTCAGAATAGGTACCTTGCCTAAGTAACTTACCATTTCGAAATGTAATTATTTACTCTTTATTGACAGGCCTTAGTTAACACCGAAAGTCCGCCGTGAAGTAGTTAGGGGAAAAGATGCAAAGTAATACGGACACAGGGATAAAGTTTTATTTAGCTTGCCTGCGCGATTTATCCAATCTATACAAATAAATAAATTTGAAGTGTCTGTTTGTAATGTTAAAATAACAGCTTTTTACTAAATGCATATGAAAGTATATACTGTACTAATATCAAAAAAAACTTTTAAAAATTTATGTCTCTCTTTGCTCCGGCTAATCTCCGAAACGGCTGGGCGGCTTTTGACGGGACTTTCACTGGCAGATAGCTGAAGTTATAAGGAGTAACTTAGGCTACTTATATTTTAGAAAAATAATTAGGGTTCCGCGCAACACAATTAAACCCTAAATTATACGCGGGCGAAGTCGCGGGGAACAGCTAAAAAGTTAAACCCCACAAGTCATCCTGTGGGTGTCGTTAAAGGTGACAGACATATTTTCATATCACGCATTCGAACCAAACGATTTGCCTCGTCGTTCATAAGGCGTACCGCAAAGGAAGGGAATAATCTGTCAGCATCTGTCTGTCCATACAAAAAAAAATCTCACACAGGACTGAACTTTTGTTAAGCAACTTAGCTTTACAATCTATCGGGTACGTCACCACTCACGATCAGGACGGGTAGTAGTCAAGAATTGGCTCATAATAGTTAAAAAAAGAGGAAATCTGTAATAGAATCTGAATAGCGGCCCATCGCAGCATCCTTCCTGCGTGGTAACTACGGCACCCCCCCCCCCCCACCCCCCTCTAAGGTCTATGTATGGGGGAGGACTATGTTCAGCAGCGGACTTTTGGTAGTAGGCTGTAATGATGATAAGTTTTAATAAAGCAAATTACAAACGACCGTCATATGTTCGTATATATAAAATATATATATTGCATCAATTCAGTCTCAGACTAATACAAGCTTTTTTATTATATTACAGTAAATATATAATTAACTATTTTCCTATTTAAAATAAAAATGACGTCATTAATATTAAATACTATATACAGGGATTGCCATTTTAAATAATTCATTTTAAGTGAAATTGATGTAGGTACATGGTTCTTTTATTATTGACAAATTTCGTGCCTGGCGGTTCGGTGAGCAATTTTAAATAGATTTTATCGCGTTTAATTTTACTTTACTTATTTTTAATACCCGACGTTTCGGGTTTAGAAGATTAGCAAGACTTCAAGATAATTTAAGCTCATTCTGCGTAGATCGGACCAAATATTAAGAATTTTAAAGTGAAGTTAGCCGTGGTTAACTATGACATTGCGACGTCGAACACCTCAGTCCCTTGTGACCATGGGTGCCGTAAAGTAATTGAAACGTCGGGAATTAGAAATAAGTTTATATACGCGAATAATCCGTAAAAATTAGTTTCGTTTATTCACCAGGCACTAACTTTTCTCTTAAAATTCACTTCGTAAATATCAATTTGGATAACTTAATTTGTCATATTTGTTTACTTGTGACTTTTACTCTTTACTAACTACCATCTTCTTGTTTTATAAGCTTCTTCTTGCCTCGTTTCCCCGGCACCATTATCTTGCTCTTCCATTCCTCCGTTCCCGCGTCTCTCAACTGCACAATTTGACCAGTCTCTGGATTAATAGGGAACACACCGTCTGGCGTTATTTTTTTCTTTGACGTGTCTGTACCATGCCTTCTTTTCATGTGTTTGTTATAATTTGACCAATTAGTGAATTCCATGCCGCAGTGCTGACATGCATATGGTTTAGCGCCAGTGTGCTGTCGTTCATGGTTCTTCAGGATCTGCTTGAAGCGGAACGCTTTGTTGCAGTATTCACAGACGTAAGGCATCGCGTCAGTGTGTATGATTTTGTGAGCATTAAGCTGGTACTGCAGCCGGAAACAACGTCCACATTGCTCACACGAGAACGGCTTTATGCCAGAGTGCATTTCCACATGCCTACGCAACATATTTGGAAATAGAAACGACTTGTTGCATATCCTGCATATGTGTGGCCTGATCTGGTCGTGGGACATGATGTGGGATGTTAGGGTGCCTTTGTTATAAAACATCTTTCCGCATCTGTCACACGTGTAGTTCCTTTTCCGGTCGTTCGTATGGATTTTCATGTGATCCCGTAGGCTGTTGGGATTTTTGTAAACTTTCTTACACAGTTCGCAAGTTAAATCGGCTATGGTGATTGGGGTGCCTCGTTTTCTCCGAGGTTTGCGTTTAGGTTTAACAGAATTGTAATCACCCAAGTGTTTCTGTAACGCCTCTTCATTCTTCAGTATTTCTCCACATAATGTACACGGGACTTGTAATTTGACAAAATGCTGTGCGACGTGTGCACTTAAAGAATCTTCTTTAATGTTGACATCGCAGTAATGGCATCTTTTTCTGTAAGAAATATAATATATTATTGATTTGTATATATATCTTTATGTGTGTGCAGTTTGGTCCAACTTGAGAGATAGGATAGTTTTTTTTTTATAGGATAAGGGTGACAAACGAGCACACAGTCCACCTGATGGTAAGTGGTTGCTGCGGCCCATTGACATCTACATCTATCTTCTATTACAAATCAAAATGTAGATGCGTTGTCACCCGTGAGGACTAAGATGGAATGTCTCATTTCCAGTAAAAAGGGCCTCCGGCCACCTGCACTCACCAAGCGAAACGTAGAGGTAAATCTCTAATTCACGCTGGTTTTCTGTGAGGTCGTGGTACCACCCCGGTTCGAGCCGGCCCATCCGTGCGACAGCAAAGGCTGCCGCGTGGCTCTAACACTGTCCATTTTATTCCGATAAGTGACCCTTAACATTTTTTATTAAGAATTTAAGGATTTTTTTTATTGGAGAAAGGGCAGAACAACGTCTGCCTGGCCCGCTAGTATATATATATATATAAAATTAGCAGAAAGGTTCAACCGATCACAACGTTTCCGTGGCGCAGTGGCTTAGTAATGAGTTGCAAAGCTAAAGGCTGCGGGTACAAATCCCGCACGGAATGAATTGTATGGCCGGGTCCACGGCGGTATTCCGGGTCTGGATGTTTGACCTTGTGAAATTTTACATAAATAAATTTCACAAGGTCACGATACACGAGAAAATTCTAGTGGGTAACGTTATATTAACAAAAAAAAAGCCTATTAAATGACTATTTTCTACCGACTTCAAAAAGGAGACTGTACTGAATTCGACTGTATGTTTTTTTATGTGTATTTCCTGATGACATTTTACTGGGTGAACCGATTTCGATGATTCTTTTTTATTTGAAAGCTGGTGCATCACATGTGGTCCCATATAAATTTTATCAAGGTCTGACCAATAAATTTTGAGTTATTCTTAATAATTTATATTGAAGTCGGTTGTACAAATTTTTTAATTTTAAAATATTTATATGTTTTTTGACATTATCTTCAGTATGTTATAAGCCATATTGTATATATAAAAAAAAGAATATGATCACAGCACTTGGGTTACATTTAGTATAACGAACCTAGTACAACCTTAGTATAATAAACCTCAATATGATTTCCTTGATTAACAATCTTTTTGAAATCCCCTAGAACCAGCCGTAAGAGTTAATACAAAATATACCTTTACATTATGTATAACTTTTCTAAAAACCCCTTTATAATGATTTTTGTATTTCTAACCACTCTACCAATTATTACCTCTGCATAAAGTATTCTACTAATCCATATATCATGAATTCATGTCTCTTCGACTTCAGAGTTCAGACACATTGAATTTATTGTATGACAATTCAGGAATTCAAACTCTCACAATAAATTATGGTTTAGTGTTGTAAGGCATTTTTTACAATGAGTATTACTTTTTTTGAGTTTGCTTATCTTGCTAAAACGAATCTAACTATATCTACCATAACTATAACTATACCTAGATTAATTAACTATCATTGTAACAAATTACTAACTAAAACGAATTTTTTTTTAATCCCCTTCAGATTTGTTAAATCAAGGTTGTACTGAACATGGACGGACACGACAAAGGTCATATTGTGAAGCGTCAGTAGCCAAATGGCAGAGCGCGGACCGCGACCTCGAAAGGTTGTGGGTTCGAATCTGCCATTCTACTACTGTCGTGAACCACTTCCAGCACAAGCATTTTAAGCTTACCAGAAGTGGTTAAAGGGAATATTAGTAATGTTTAATAACATTACTAGTATTTAAAAAAAAATATTGTGTAACGTTCAAGTCATACATATACCAGTAATTGTTGGGAGCACTATTACTGTTGATAAGTATGCTTACATAGGAAAAATTGTCTGACTTACCCCAATTGGACGGAATTAGAATTGATCGATATTGGACTTACCCCAATATCAAATAGTCTGACCGTATCAGGAAGCTCAAGGTCGCTCAACAAGCTACGGAGAGGGTTATGCTCGAAGTTTCACTGCGTGACAGCAAAAAGATATATTCGCAGTAGAACCAGAGTAACTGATATAGCCTAATGGATCAGTAAGCTGAAGTAGCAATGAGCTGGTCAAATAGCTCGAAGGACCAACACCTGATAGGGACGAAAGTTTCTCAAGAGGCAGCCGCGTAATCAACTTGCAGCCTTGTAATCTGTAAGTGAAGTATAAGGCGGCCCCCCGCTTGATGAATGCTGGTGGCTCAGGGCTGATCGTGCATAAGTACTGCTACTAGCTGTATTTTTGTTAATTTCATTATTGATTGTCTATGTTTTAAAAAAAATAGATTAAATACATTCTTCACGTGTCTTACTTGTTGATAATATATTATTAAACTTTATAGGCATAAAATGTGCTTCAAGCAAGCACTATGTTATGCAATAGAATGGTGTGTGACTGCCTTGTAAATGTTGGTTGAAACCCGGGTCAATCCAAAAATAAGTTATGGGATTTTTCTGCCAAGAAATTTTCTGCAGTAGCCTAAAGTCAGGAAGATGGCGGTGTTTTATCCTAGTGCTTCGGAAAGCACGCGAAGCCGTTGGTCTTTCGCGTAAACTTTCTACTGTTGTGTTAGATTGCCGTCTCTTTGGACTATAAGTGGAGAATTGGAGGGTGTGTCTATGCATGCACAAACACTCTCTGTATGATCGTTTTCGGTCAAAAGGTCATTCAATTGTTTTAAATATTATGTTGTAATAAAATAAAATATTGTATAATGTTAAATTAAATGAAATATTACATCCACCATAAAATATAGCATATCATACTTTGGAGGAGAAGACAAAGCTAATTATACCTTATATCTTTAAAATGTAATTAAATTAAACATATTTATTTATTTGACATAAGAAATAAAAATTTCTTTTGTCAAATATACTTTATATTCAAATATACTACAGTTAGAAAGGGGGTTCCTCTGACCACAAGTAACTGTAAGAAAAACTTCACAGGTATCTTCTTTTCATTTTGTTGAGATTATATTAAAATAACATCCCATCATCCCATGGATATGAGGCATTCCATCTTAGTCCTCAGGGGTGACAACGCATCTGCATTTTGATTTTTAATCAATATGAAAATTACTAAATCATGTCAAGCTTAGCAACTATGGCATATATCCCCCTATGAGGCAATGTAAAGAGTTCAGTCATAGATCTTTGATAAAGGTTCATTTGAAATATGTATACTGTATAGGATCAATAGTAACTTAATCATATATTTTGATAAATATAACGTAATAATGAAATCTGTCATATATATATATATATATATATATAACTATTCTTGGGAGTCTTATTAAATACTACTTACAGACCTTCAAGAAAAGAAACTACTCCTTTCTAAAGGCCAGCACTGCAATTCATTAGTATTTCAGATGTTCATAAGTGACAGTGATTGCTTACAATGGCTCCGTGGCGCAGTGGCTTAGCAATGAGTTGTTGCGCCAGGGGCCGCGGGTTCGAATCCCGCACGGAAAAAGTATTTATATGGCCTACAAATAATTGTTCCGGGTCTGGATGTTTGTCCTTGTGCAATTTATGTTTGTAAACTGCCTCCACGATACAGGAGAAAATCCTAGTGTGGGCTTAACATTTTTTTAGCAAAAAAAAAATTAAAAAAAATTAGCTGAGCCATATGCCATAACAAAATATAATAGCCTTAATATTCAACTGAGTCTGTTCTTGGTAGGTAGGTAGTTGTGAGGCGTAAGGTGATGTGAAATTTCATAAGACAACAATAGAACACCTGTTTACCATCACACTGCAGACTGCTTAGGTGCCTCAGGACCAAAATAGGTGGTTTTAAATTCACATTACTGATATGTGACTGCTACAAGTAAATTTAAAATGCTTATGACTGACCGACTCATAATAAGTCAAATGGCAGAATATAATCTACTTTAATCTTTTTTTTAATGAAATAGTAGTGATGAACAACTACAAAAGACGAACTTTCTTCAAAAGATGAACAGTATGTTTGATGGTAAGTGGCTCCTCTAGCTAATGGGCACGTGCAACCAGCTTCAAATAAAAAAGGCTAGATATGAGTTGTCATCTCTGAGAGCTAAGATGGAATGCCTTGCGGCCTGTAAAATTATACTCTTCAGATTAGAATGCAGCAATATACACACTGCTGCTTGGTGGTGGAAATGTGTAACAGGGTTTTTACATAGTAGACACACTCCATCTATATTGTGGTTGTAGCACAAATGGGCCAGCTCAACGGGTGATCAGTCTCTCACAGAATTTTGACGGCTCCCTGGCTTAGTAATGAGTTGCTGCGCTGGGGGCCGCAGATTCGAATCCCATACGGAACAAGTATTTGAACTACAAATAATTGTTCCGGGTCTGGATGTTTGTCCTTGTGCAATTTGTGTTTGTAAACTGCCTTCACGATACAGGAGAAAATCCTAGTGCGGGTAACGTATAAAAAAAAAGAACACAGAATCCCAGCTTAATGCTGCTGTGTTTTATAATGTGAGTATAGAGAACTAGTGATTTTTTTACTGGACACAAGGAATTCCATCTTATTCTTCAAGGGTAACAAAGCATCTGCATTTCGATTCTTAAACCATCAGGTGAACTGTGCTTGTCACCCTTATTATATAAAAAAAAAACCTATGCTTTTAGCTTAGTAGCATCTTAGTTACTTTCAATTCTCTCAAGCATAACAATAATGTTTATTTATTTCTTATTCATGACAAAAAATAAAATCACCTTAACCTCCTCCTGTGTCTTCTTACATGTTTTATAAAGGATTCATAATCACTCATAGTGTAACATTTACAATCAATGCATACAAATGCATTACATTTTCCATGAGTTATTTTAGAATGGGATCGTAATGTAGGCAAATCAAGAAACTCCATATTGCAGTGAGCACATATCCATGGATAGCTCTTCCACTGTGGGATTGCCCTTTTCCTTTCATCTGTCACTTCTTTAGCATATATTGTTACATCTGGTGCATAATAGGGCATGTTACATATAGTTGCATCAAGTATATCTTTAACATTGAGAGTATTGTCATAGTTTAAACTGGACGGACTATTTGCTGCATCCATAGCAGTATTTTTTGTAACATTACCGGCTCTAATTGAATCTTCTATTGGTTCCTCTTTAACTTGAAAGGAACTGTCACAATCATTGGACACATTTAGTAATGTTAATTTCGTATCTTCTGCAACAGCACCTTCATCTTTTACCAGCGCTGAAACTTCTACATCTGAATCTGGCGGGGCGTAGTCATCAAAACCCATTCTATCATCATCAGACAGATCAAGCTTCGGGCGAATGTTGTTTGAGAACATAGTTGAGAGAACATCCTGGGAACGCTTGACTTTTTCGAGAAAATCGTAAGCTTTATTCAAGGAATCATAACACACAAAGCAAACAGTCTTGGGCAATATATTGTCACTACTAGAAACATCAACGTAAACAGCATTTAGGAAAGCCAATTTATCCATTATTTCTTCATATTTCTCATCATTTTTAATTAACTTCAATACTTTATCAGAAGCTTTGGGCTCCGCACAGAATCTACAATAAGTATGTTCAATATTTGCCATTGCATCTAAACTCGGTTTATGCGATTTTATTACATTTGTTTAAGATTAACAACATTAAAATATGTTCTGACACTAAAATTAAATGGGAGACAAAACGCGTATAGCACATAATACATATCTCTGTGATGTCACAAAATGACATTGACGTTTTGGCAATGTTGCTAGCATGGCTTGATTGAATTAAAAGAACTACCTAACGTTAGCTTGTTTGAAAAGTTAGATTCTTAGATTAAAAGATATATTTTAATTAGATTTATTATATTTTATTATATATATTTATTATAAATTACTAAATAATAACTTTTGTCAATAATACTGAAAATCTGAGGCATTTGATATTTCGTTTACCTAACAGATTGATATTGTAGTTTTTAACAATTAAATTAATTTTTTCTACCGACTTCCAAAAAGGAGACGGTTCTCAATTCAACTGTATGTTTTTTTTAATGTGTGTTACCTCATGACTTTTTACTAAGTGAACCGATTTGAATGATTCTTTTTTTATTTGAAAGCTGGTACTTCTCGTATGGTCCCATATGAATTTGATCAAGGTCAGACCAATAGTTTTTCAGTTATTCTTAATAACTCACATTGAAGTCGGCTGTACAAAATTTTTAATTTTAAATTATTTAAAAGTTACTTAATAGAAGTTGCGTCGATCAATTTTTCTCACGTACAAGTTACATGGCTTATTGTCTTTTGAGTGGTCAAATGAAAACGTGGTGGAGCCATGCTGCACCTATATTAGTAGTATATTTGTATCACGGGGAAGGACCACGCTCTCACAGAATACCAGCGTAAAATGGCAGTTTGACACTGCTGTGTTTTCCATCGTAGCCCTCACAGGTGACGACGCATCTACATTTTACTTTTTTATTGAGGATAAATGTAGAGGTCTATTGCTCACAGCAACCTCTTACTATCAGGTGGACTGTGTGCTCGTTTGTCACCCTATCCTATAAAAAAAAATTCACAAGTTCAAATTGAAGAAATTACATTATGAATAATAAAACTTTAATCACCTATTCCACCCTTAGGGATTTCATATTTTCTTCAAATATTCTGTTGAAAGAGTTACAAAAATTATAAGAAATGTAACTTTTTGGCAGCACTACATTTTGTTAAGTGTTGCTAAAACGTAGTAATTATAATAGATTTCAAACCTTCATTATTTAATTAGTATATATTTTTTGACTTTAGCTAATTGCCCAGTACACCCTTAATTATTAGGTCGGCCACACATTGTAAGAAATTTTCTGTCAGAAACGTTCTAACGCGTGCCGGACGACTATCCGCACACCCCGCACTATATCAACGTCCCAGCAATCCTATTTTTATCAGCAATATTCCAAAAGTGTGTATATTTTTCCACATCTCTAATTAATCTCAATGTGCACCTTACTCGGACGTACGCTTTCGGAATTTCCGATGGCGTACGGTCCTGTTTAGCAAGCTTTAGTAGGTAACAGACGATTCTTCCGATGAACATCTTGCGGTATACGTGAACCGGACAGCTTCTCTGCATTATCGTCTTTCTTGATTGTTGTTTCTTGCTCTCTAGAATACCGATCGAAGCTAGTTCCTTGCGCCTTACTTGAGACTACTAGAAGGAGAGGAGGGTTTCCATCATCTTCTAAATTGCACAGTGTTGGACAGCAAATCATCCAGATGGTGTGGACGGTATCGTGAGTTCTACCGCGATGTGCGTTTGTGAAATTTGGCGGCTGGGATTAATCCGAACAATTCCTCAGACCACTCCCCGTGGTAAATGCGAAAGAAAATTAAAGGGATGCAACATCTCTTCGCAGCGCCAATGAATCGAGCCGATCGGAAAGGACTCGGTCGTCGACGATTCAAGCCGCTCTGCGTTGGATGCGGTCAAGTGGAAGGAGCTGGCACTGGGAAGCCCCAGCCCAGAGATGGGAACAGTATTCCATGTGAGGCCGAACCTGCGCCTTGTAAAGTAGCAGGCGTTGTGCCGGCATGAAATACTGTCCCGCTCTATTGAGCACGCCAAGCTTTTTAGAGGCCAATTTGGCCTTCTCTTCCAAGTGACCATGAAACTGCACGTCACTCGATATATCGACGCCGAGGATTCTGATACTGGCTGAGGCAACAAGGGGAGTGCCTTGAAACTGAGGAGATACGACAAAGGGGTTCTTTTTAGCGGTCAACACGCAAACTTGTGTCTTCTGAGGATTAAACTGGACTAGATTTAGTCGCCCCCAAACCGAAACTTTGTTCAGCAAAGACTCGACTTCAGACACACGTTTGTTCCGGTATTCGGCGACGTTTTCCCGAGAAATATTGGCACGGCCGGTATAGAAGGCATCACTAGTGCTGTCATCATGAATGTTATCGGAACACCGGCGTTAATATGCTTTTAGTCGGAGCATGCACCGTCTACAACGGCCTTGATGCTCGAATCTGCCCATAGGAAGGGAGCTTCGTAAGAAGCGCTTTGTGCCAAACCCGATCGAAGGCATTCGCAATGTCCAAAATAACGGCCAATGCCTCCCGCTGGACTCTACTGCCTCTGCCCATCTATGAGTCAGGGAGACCAGAAGATGAACAGCTGATCGACCCCGACGAAAACCGTATTGGCGGTCACTAATCAGCTGGTGATGTTCAAGGTACCGCATGAGCTGGCAGTTTATAATGGATTCCATTATTTTGGAGAACAAGGAGGTGATGGCAATAGGCCTGTTGTTGTACGGGTTTGAGCGGTCGCCATGTTTAGGGATCGGGTGGACAAAAGCTGTCTTCCATGATTTCGGGACTACGGCTAGGGAGTAGGAGTTCCCCCCGTCATCAAGAGTCGAGTTGGACGCAAGAAGGGAGCCTAAAAGGTCGGCTTTCTCTTTTGCGGCGTGGGCCAGTGAGTTGTCTTCCCTATGCAGAAATGGTAGTGATGGCTTACAGAAATTCCCTTGGACAGCCTTGGCGAGAGACCAAATTGCACGAGTTCCCGAAGGAAGGCGAACTAGTTTTTCGCCAATTCTCCCTATGTGCTTTGAATTTGCCTTGGCAATAACTCTTTTGGAGGACCTGGAGGAGACGTTATACTTTTTTTTAGCATGCTGGTGTTAACATTCCGAGCCGTCAAAGTCTCAGCCCAGGCCTGATAACACTCCTGCTTACTGCGTAATGCAGTCTTACAGGAGCGACCAAACCAAGGCTGAGATCTGCCTCCGATGGGTACCACAGATGATGGAATAAATAGTTCCATTCCCTATAGCACCACATCAGTGACAGAGTCAGCAACAGCGCTGGGATCATCCGGCGAGAAGCAAACCCACCCCCATGGGTAGGATGCAAAGAAAGACCGCATTCCGTCCCAATACGCCGACCTGTAATGCCAAACACGGCGGCAACCTATAGAACGCAACCGGGAGGGGAGCGTGAGTGGCACCACACTCCGGATCAGACAATAGGCCGAAGAGCCAAGAGGGGCATCGACGGAAACCTGATATCCGTCCGGATGAGAGATCAGCAGAAGGTCCAACAGGGAAGGTGTATGATCCTCAACATCTGGAATCCGCGTAGGCGATGTAACCAGTTGTGTCAGACCATATGCCAAGGCAAAGTCATAAACAGATCTCCCCGCATGATCGGTTAAACGTGAACCGAGCCATTCGGCGTGGTGGGCGTTAAAATCGCCAATGACGACGATCTCTGCGGATGGGGCCTGTTGTAGCAAAGAATCTTTAGCCATTTGGACGAGGCCGTTGAGTCGGTCTGTTTCGGCATTATCACTATGGGATCTATAGAGGCACCCGTAGACGCGTGGAAGGCCGTCGCTGTCGCTGTAAAAAAGCCAAAGGATGGACAGGTCCGAACCTTCAAGACTGCCGAGGCGTCGAGAACAGATGTCCTCTGTGGCGTATACGTAAACTCCAGCCCGAGGCACAAAGGAGTGTTCCAATTTGTACCCTGGGTAGGAGAAATACAAAGTATCAGCCGGAGAAGACACCTGCGTCTCGGTCAGAAAGAGCAAGGCTGGCTTCGTAGTCTCTAGATGGTAGTGGACGGCGTTTAGGTTCAAGTGAAGTCCCCTGATGTTGCAAAAATTCACGGATAGCGTGGCCGGGATCGCCTTGGTCTTGTTGCTCAGTTTGCCCCGAGCAGTTATTCTTTTGAGCGGAATGTTTTTTTTTTATTGAATAAGGGTAACAAACGAGCCCACAGTCCACCTGATGGTAATTGGTTGCTGTGGCCCATAGATATCTACATCTATTTTCGTTTGCGAATTAAAATGCAGATGCGTTGTCAGCCGTGAGGACTAAGATAGAATGCCTCTTTTCCAGTAAAACCGGTTCTCTACACTCACCATACGAATCACAGCAGCATTAAGCTGCTATTTTACGCTGGAATTCTGTGAGAGCGTGGTCCTTCCCCGGTCGAGCCGACCCATTCGTGCTACAACTATACTATTAATATAGCTGCAGCATGGCTCTACCACGTACAAAATGTTGTCCTCCCCCAGAATACGCGGGGCAGCCTGTGCACCCACGCTAAGGTGTGGAGTAGCATTGTCGTGGATGCTCATTCTCCAAGATACATGTCGATTACCTACTTTGGGTTTGTAATCGACAATTTATCTATATCGTTCAAAATTGATTCTCGAGGCATATCCTTTTATTACATGTACAAGTTTGTGTTATTTAACAGTTATTACATAAATCCAAACTAAGTTTAAATTTGGGCCAGTTTTAAAGCCAAAACACTAAAAAAACCTGACATACTGATTTCCTCCGGAAGGTTTACGTATAGTAATAAATCGTATATTATGTACCAGTGGCGTACCTAGAGGAAAATTCTAGGCTCGCCACTGATATGCACCCGTAAGAAACCGAGGCGTAAGAAACGACGTTTATCAAAGAGATCTGCGAGTAGTCGGAGCAATCTCAAAAGTTCCGAGTAATCTTGTTCCAATGAATCCTCAAGCACCCATTTTTGCTCCGAGTAATCTTGTTCCAATGAATCCTCAAGCACCCATT